CCCCAAGAGGCAGCTTCCTCTCACCAAGTGTCTTGAGCAGCAGTGTGCAATTGAGGGTGAGGATAAGAGGGGTCAGGTACTGTAGGCTCACCACCGTCACATAGCAGTAAACACGGACCACCTGGTGGGCAAGCAGCAGTGGCAGTGACCTTCTGGGCTCAGGTTGACCCCAGGCCAGAGGGACTGGAAGCCCCACTCTGCACCCCAGGTTCCCTTGACAGTGGGCACCCGTACCCGCCGCTGGATCTCACGGGCCTCTATGCGGCCGGCCTCCCGCCGCAGCTGCTCCACACGGGACTTAGCCAAGCACAGGTAGGCCTGCAGGTGGGGTCGGGTCACTGCCAGCCGCAGTAGGCACAGTGCCACCAGCACCCAGAGGCGCAGCGAGTCAAAGGCTGAGTCCGACAGCCTGCACGGGGAAGGGTGAGGGGGCTAGTGAGACCACCCCTGGCCTCAGGCTCTTCCCCCAGGACCCACAGCTCCCTAATGGTTCCTCCCTGAGCCTCAGACACGAATACACAGAGGGGCCCCCAGCCTCCCTCCTGGCCCCACCCCAATACGCACAGGGAGGAGGGCATCTCCCCAAAGGGCGCCTGGTGCAGGAAGTCCCGCGCGATGGGCTTGGTCCAGAGCCACAGGATGAGCAAGGGTGACAGGAAGCTGGTGTGCAGGAGGAACCTGGGTACAAGGGCACAGCAGGGTGAGGCCTGGGCACCCACCATCCCCTCAGCCTCTCCCCTAAGCTTCCTAACCTCCCACCCACCCAGACCCCCACTTAACTGCAGCATGGGCCGGTCTTCCGACATGGTCAATGCATCCCGGTGGGTCTGGGCCAACCGCAGGCCTGGGAAGGTGAGGAAAGCACCCAGCATGGAGCCCAGGGCTGCCAGCCCCACACGGATGGCCAGCTTGGCCACAGGAAGCCTGGGGAGAAAAGATGGGTCAGCAGCCCTGAGGCTTGTCAGTACCCTGCCTGCAGGTCACAGCCTGCCCCTACCCCCTCTCCCTTTCCAGGACTCACGCCCAGTCCCAGCCCTGCATCTTCAGAAGTGGCTCCAAGTTCTGGGTCATACTGGCCAGGCCTGGGGAAGACAAGGAGAAGAGTGGAGTAGAGTAGACCCCTGGGCCTCGGAGCCTACTCTGCCCCGCTCCCAGATGTCCTTTGCTCCCCAGGTTGCGACACACCCATGGCAGCTAGGTCCTGTACCAGGCATGAGGACTGCTTCGTGCTCTGGTTATGTGCGGCTCTTTTCAAAGAACAGGAGAATGCAGTGGGCAGACCCTTGATTGGACCAGGGGACAAAGTGGAGGGGAGGGGACACTGAATCTGAGCTTACTGGATTATACCAGGAATCGGGGGGCATGAGAAAAACCCAAGTCCTGGGAAGAACCCGCAGTTCTGGCCTCCAGATTTTGCAGAGTAAAAGCAGGTAAATATGAACTCACAACCAAAATCATCACACACAGAAGGAAACAAATCACCACAGGGGGGGAGTCAGCAGAAAAAAACCCCAAAAGTTTAGACCACAGGGACTTTAGAAATTGTCATTATCAATTATGTGTGAAATGACTGAGGAAAATAAAAGCTGGAATCACAGAACAGGCAACACGAGACTACCTCAGATAACCAGGCAGATTTACAAAGAAACCAATTAAGCTCTTCCAACAGGAAAATATAATTATTGAACTAATAGGTTGTTAAACAGCATATTTGACAGAGCCAAGAAGGAATTCATGAATTAGATCTGAAGAAATCACTCAGATTCCTACTCAGAAAGATAAGAAGGTGGGGAATATGAAAGACTGAGAGATGAGGAGGACAGAATAGAAAGTCAAGTCAGAGCTTCAGAGGGAGAGAAAGAGAATAAAAGAGGACAGGAGATACTGCAAGAGAATGGTTGAGAAATAGGCAGAATAGATGCCACCCATAAAGTACAACAGACCAGATAAAAACAAAGAAACCCATACCTAGACACACTGGTGAAACTGCAGAATATCAAAAACAAAGAGATCGCAAAGCAGCCAGGGAGTTAAGACAGACCACCTATAAAAGAAGGACAATTAGGCTGGCAGCAAATGTCAACAGTAACAACAGAAAAGAAATAGAAAGTGAAAAAGTAAGATGGCAGAAACAAAATCAAATGTGTCTGTAATTACAATAAATGTAAATACATTAAACTTTGAAGTTAAACTAAACAGATTGCCAGACTTGATTGAAAATATCCAGATATATGATTCTTAGCATGAGGTAGGTTGAACGAAAAGGGATGTTAACAAATGCTAATCAAAATAAAACTGGAAAGCCTATATTAAAACCAGACAAACTAGACTAAGACAGAAGTGTTATTAGAATCAGAAGGGGTCAATACATCATGATAAAACTGCCAATTCACCAGGAAGATGTAGCAATTCTAAACTTGTAAACACCTTGTCAATTTACCTCAAAATACAGAGGGTGCCAAAAATTTGTATACACATTTTAAGAAAGAAAAACTGTATTAAAATTGTAATATTCAATATACTCGTATACCGATAGCAAAAGATGAATACAAGTCACATTTGACTTCTGCAATTACAAGAGGTGCTCAAAATTGTTACCATCAGCGTCCAACACTTCTGATTACGGCGAACTACTGCTGGAGCAACACTGACCAAAGTGTCCACTTGTATGAATTTTTTTGGCACCCTCTGTATATAAAGAAAACACTAACAGAACGACCTGGAAAAATTGAGACCTCCATCCCAGAGGGAGAGTAAACCTTTAGTGACAAAAGTTAGGAAAGATGGAGATTTGAATTTATTGGACATATAGAGGCAGTGAATATATGTTCTTCAAGAACATGTGGAACAGTCACAAAAACTGATCATATTCTAGGCCATAAGGCAAGTCTTAAGAAATATTAAAGAGGGGGTGGTCAGTTAGCTCAGTTGGTTAGAGTGTGGTGCTGATAATACCAAGGTTGCCCGTTCAATCCCTGCATGGGCCACTATGAGCTGTGCCCTCCTTAAAAAAAAAGAAAATCATAAAATGAATTAAAATCTTAAAAAAAAAATTTAAAAACTTATTTCAAGTAGACCATTTTCTGTAACCATGGTATAGTTAAGCTAGAAATAAGAATTTTTTTAAAGTTCCACATTTGAAGTTTTTAAAAGGGGTTTAAAGAGAAATCACAATAGAAACTTTAAAATATCCACAACTGCACGATAATGAAAATACAAGTCAAAACTCAGAGGTGGGGGCCAGCCGAGTGGTGCGTTGGTTAAGAGCTGGCTTGGGACGCCAGCTCTGTGCAGCAGGACCCCAGTTCGGATCCCACATGAGGGCCAGTGACACTGCCCTCTACAGCTAAGATGGTGAACAACAACTCAACCTGGAGCTGGGATGATGTGAGGCGATGGCGACGGTGTAGGCTGCAGCCCCTGCTGCAGTTGGCTGCCATAAGCTACCGTGTGTGGTCAGCAGCTAGCGTGAGCGGCCAGCAGCCGGTGTGAGCTGCCAAGAGCCTCTGTGAGCGGCCGTCCAGAGGCTGGCGACCCAACTGCCTCACCCGGGAAGAGCGCAATGATAATACCAACATGGGCCAGTGAGGCGACGTCTTCCACAACTAGGCTGAAGAACAAAAGGACAGCAACTTGTCTGTTCCCCTTCCCCCGATTCCCCAACACTGTTCCCCTCTCCGAATTCCCCAATAAAATCTTAAAAAAAAAAACACACAAAAAAAACCTCAGAGGGCCGGCCGAGTGGCGCGATGGTTAAGAACTCGCTTGGGATGCCAGAGGGCCCCGGTTCGGATCCCACATATGAGGGCCAGTGACACTGCCCTCTACAGCTAAGATGCTGAACAACAGCTCAACCTGGAGCTGGGCTGCCGGGAGTCGCCGGCGACAGCGTAGGCTGCAGCCCCTGTGGCAGTGGGTTGCCATGGGCTACCTTGTGTGGCCGGCAGCCAGCGTGAGCGGCCAGCAGCCGCAGTGAGCGGCTGTCCAGAAGCTGGCGACTGATCTGCCTCGCCAGAGAAGAGCGCGATGATGGTGCCAACTTGGGCCAGTGAAGCGACATCCTCCACAACTAGACTGAAGAACAAAAGGACAGCAACTTGTCTGTTCCCCTTCCCCCAATTCCCCAGCACTGTTCCTATCCCCCTAATTCCCCAATAAAAATCTTTAAAAAAAAAACAACAAAAAACCTCAGAGGTGGACAAAAGTGGAACTTAGAAAATATTCATAGCCTTAAAATACTATAAATGATAACAACAGAAATAGAAGAGGCTGAAAATTAATGAGCTAAGTAGCACCTAAGATATTGGAAATAAGAAAAGAAAGTCTACCAGAGCACTAATCTAAAATCCAGAGGTCCCAGCCACACTAAAGGGGAAAGATTGGCAAGGAAGAAAGAAAACCAAACAGAATCCACAATTCACTAAAAATGCAATTGTTTAGCAAAGTTGTTCCATGGAAAACACTCAATGTGATCCCTACTCATAACACAAAAGTGAACTCCCAGGAGTTTAAGTGCTTGATGAAACTTGAAATATTGTGAAAGAAAATATAAAATCTCTTTGTGATCATAGGGAAGGGAAGGGAATTCTCCAAGACAAATGTCAACTATTATAACAAACTTCTATTCTTCAAAAGATACCAAAAGTGATGGCTGCAACTGTGTTCAAAGGCTCAGCCAAAAAAAGTGTGGTGTTGTGTGTGTTTGTGCAGAGAGAAAAGCATGCACATGTCATCAAATGAATCTAGGTCAAGGGCATATGAGGTCATTAGAGGACTCTTCCAACTTATTTGTAGATTTGTAGTTTTTCAAAATAAAATGTTTGCAGAAAAACTTTTTAAAGAAAAAAAAACTACAAAGAGTAAAAAGACACCACAAATTGAGAATTTAATCACACATTTTTTCACATTTTAACTTCTTTAAAATTGGGATACATATAACAATTGATAGCATGCAATAGTTTAACAGTGTTTATCTTTTTTTGGTGGTTTATGAAATAATGGCGTGTCAGATTTGGTAGGATGAAGTATGTGCCACACATGTAACAAAGGATCATTATCCATAATATATAAAGAAACTACAAATCAACAAGACAAAAAAGACGAACAAAAGTTTCACAACATTGGATTTGACAACAATTTCTTGGATATGACACCAAAGGCACAGGCAACAAGAAAAAAATAGACAAACTGAATTCATGAAAAATTTTTAAAAACTGTGCATTAAAAGATACTATCAGTGGAGTTAAAAGGCAACCCGTAGAATGGGTGAAAATATTTGCAAATCATATATCTAGTAAGGGATTACTATCCAGGATATATACAGAACTCCTAAAATTCAACAACAACAAAAAACAACCCAATTCAGAAATGGGCAAAGGACTTGAACAACATCTTTCCAAAGAAGACATCCAACTGGCAATAAGTATGTGAGAAAATGTTCAACATCACTAATCATTAGGGAAATGCAATTAAAACCACAATGAGATACTACCTCACACCCACTAGGATGGCTCCTATAAAAAAAAAAAGAAAGAAAGAAAAATAATAAGTGCTGGTGAGGAGGTAGAGAAGTTGGAACCCTTGGGCACTGCTGATGGGAATGTGAAATAAAACGCAGCCACTGTGGAAAACAGTATGGCGGCTCCTCAATAAAATAAACATAAGATTACCACATGGTCCAGGAATTCTACTTCTGGGCATATACCCAAAAGAATTAAAAGCAGGGCCTCAAAGAGATACCTGTACACCCATGTTCATGGCAACATTTTTCAAAAGAGCTAAACCATGGAAACCATGTAAATGTCCATCAACGGGTGAATGGATAAGCAAAATGTGGTCCATCCATACAATGGAGTATTATTCAGCCTTAAAAAGGAAAGACATTATGCTCAGTGAAATAAACCAGTCACAAAAGGACAAATACTGTATGATCCCACTCATATGAGGTCCCTAGAGGAGTCAGATTCATAGCGGCAAAGTAGAATGGTGGGTGCTGGGGACTAGGGGAGAGGGATGGGAGTTAGTGTTTAATGGGGACAGAGTTTCAATTTTATAAGATGAAAAGTTCTATGGATGGTGGTGATGGATGCACAACATTATGAATGGATTTAACACCATTGAACTATACACTTAAAAATGGTTAAAATGGTAAATTTTATGTTATGTGTATTTTACCACTATAAAAATTTTTTTTAAAGAAAAACATACAGCTTGAAAGAAAAATGGGCAACAATATGAAAAGACTTTTGACAGAAGAGGAAACGTGAATCATGAATAAACATGAGAAGATGCTCAGACTCGCAGGTAACCAGAGAAATGCACGTTAAGACCACAAAGGCATTATTCTACACTGCTAGACTGGTACCGTAGATCTCAAGTCATTTAAACCATACTGTCCCCCTGGGAGTTTGGTGTAGTCACCACCCAACCTTATAAGCAGGGAGGCCAAGGCAGGGGGGGCCAGTGGTGACCTCCCCCATACCCACCTGCCATGTGGCTGGGACTCAGTGGGCAGCCTGAGCCCTGAGCCCATGCTCTGAACCCCAGGCTGCATGGCTGGTGGACGTGCTTGGAGAGCTGCACCGAAAATGCTGAGGCACCACCTCATAAAGGTGAACATGTCCCCATGGTCCCTAAGTCTGTGCCCAAGAGAAAACGCCTGCCCGCATGTATGAGGAAACACGTACAAGAATGCTTCCTGTAGCAGATGTGAAAAAGCTAAAATCTGCAAACCAACTAAACATCCATCAACAAGAGAATGGGAAACAAGTAGAGTCTCATCCCATCATTCATGGTGATAAGACATGAACTAAAGGCACCCAGACCAACATGACCTAGTTTGGAAACAATATCAGAGAGACAGAAAAGCACAGCTGGAAGACTACACGTTGCAAAACTGAACAATAAATTCTTTAGGGACAGAAACGTACGTGATGAAACATTTTTTAAAAGGCAAAGGAGGAGCAGCCAGTTAGCTCAGTTGCTTAGAGTGCAGTGCTCATAACACCAAGATTGCTGGTTCGATCCCCATAGGGGCCACGGAGCTGTGCCCTCCACAACTAGACTGAAACAACTACTTGACTTGGAGCTGATGGGTCCTGGAAAAACACACTGTTTCCCAATTAAAAAAAAAAAAAGGCAAAGGCATGATAAACACAAAATTTGAGAGACTGGTTGCGGCTGGGAGTAGGGAGGAAGGTGGTAGGACCAGGAAGGCGCACCAGGGACATGCAGGAGCTTTGGGAATGTTCCAGTTTTTATTTGAGAAGTAAGTTCATGGGTGTTTGTATTATTATTTTGCTTTGTAATTTACATATATATGTTCTTTATGTATATTAAACATTATATAATTTTAAAAATAGAAAAGCAGGGAGAATTGGTGAAGATAAAGCTCAAGGAATCAACAAGGGCCATGTGAGCAATAATGAAGATTTTGGTCTTTATCCAAAGACCATTAGAGTCTGGTGTCAGGCAGAGAAGTGATATGATCCAAATTATGTTTTTAAAAGAATAGACAAAGTCAAAAAGAAAACTGAGAAACTTAGAAAAAATATTTGCAACTCCAAAAAAAAATTTGCAAATTTCCTTACATATTAAGGAAATTTCCTTAATATGTAAAGAGCTCCTACAAATCAATAAAAGGGTCAACAACCCGGTAGAAAACTGGGCAAAAGAACAAACCTTTTCTGAAAGGGAAATAGAAATAGCTCATCAGCATATGAAAAGATGCTCAACCTCACTTACATTTTCTCTCATCAGATCACCCAAGATGAAAAAGTCTGAGGAAACACATTGGAGAGGGTATGGGGAAATAGACATGTTCATACACCTTTTCCTGAAGGGCACTTTGCAACATTATCAAAATTACAATGCACTTTCTTGCATAGGGCCACAAGCACAAAGCTATTCCCATACAAGAATGTTCTATAACAACATGGTTTTGTTCAACATTTAACAGCAAGAGACTTAGATGTCCATAAATAGGGGCCTAAACAATCATAGAACATCTATAAAATGAATTACCATGTAACTGTTAGAAGAAACGAATCTGTACGTAGAATCAAGGGACAAGCTCCAATATTTATTGTTTTTAAGGGAAAAAGACAAGGTGTAGAGATATATACACTACTATTTTATGTGAATAAGGAAAAGTGGCACTCAGGTTTCCTCTGGGGAGGAGAGCCAGTGTGGAAGGGTGACTTTCACTCCATAGCCTCTTATACTTTGTGAATTTTATACCATTTACCTATTTCCTCCCACAAACTAAATTAAAAATGGGTAAATGTTAAATCACTCTGCCTGCTGGGTAGAGGTCAGGAGGGGAACAGAAGTGCCTTTGCAAAGAGCTACAGCCACAGGCACCTATCAGAGATAGTGTGACAAAATGTCCTCTCATCCCCAGAGCCCGAAGGGGCGCCAAGGGTGGCAGAAACCCATGGAGACTGCCGGGGCTCAGGACTCCCCTCCTTCACCTACTATGTGCCAGCCGAACAATTAAACCCCATGCTCGCTGACTTACACAAGGAGTGATGGAGGTGTCTATCCCACACCTGATGCACGTACCTGGCTCCAGGCCCAGCTCGAGGGTCTCCTCAGGCACCACCTGAACCAGCATGGCCAGGAGCAGGAAGAGGAAGGCGAAGGTGAGGCAGACGGAGCGCTCACCCCCCTCCTCGGCACTGAAGTACAGCTGGGTCACTGTCAGGAACACCTTGCTGGGGGCAGAGTTAAGAAGGCCTCCAGTGCCTCCAGTACCCTTGCCCACTCCACCACCCCCAGCCAGTGACACCCCAAATCCAGAGCAAACACCAGAGTTCAGGTTTGGGGTCCTGGGGAGCTGGGGAGTGACTGAAGAGAAGAGTGAGCCACTGAACAGGCCAAGACACAGATGGCAACGCTGCTCATGACGGTGTCAGCAGCATGGGGTTGTGCGTGTGACAGATGCACCTGGCACAGGCCTCCAACTTGGCTCATCACACTACCTGTGGCCAGTTAGAAATGGCCACCAAGTCAGTCCCTTTAGGAGGGCCCGCCTCCCTGAACCACCTAGCCCCCTGGCTGCATTCACAGCATTTCTCTGAGAAGCTGTCAGATACAAGGGCTCTATCTCCCATCTGTCCTGAAAAGATCTGGGGGTTTTTACAAACAGTGTGGATGCCAAGATGGGCTTCCCTTCTTCCCAAGACCACTCCACAGGGACATTTTCTCCTACTTGAGTCCTCAAAGTCACGAGTTCACCTCTGCTGTCTGTGCAGCTTAATACAAAAATTGCAGAGAAGCATCCCCTTCCCAGCCCCTGCCTCTGGGCTGGCCTAGTGACTTGCTTGGATGGAAGGATGGACAGGGGTGAGGTGGGCTGGCGTGGGCAAGGGCTCAGGAGGCCTGCAGAACCTCACCTTCCTTGCTGGCTTTCTGCAGCTGCGATGAGGGAGCTTGCCCAGCCTGCTGGAAGGGGACTACTGGGAGCAGAGATGAGCCCACCCAGCTGAGCCCGGACCAGGGGAGCAAATGAAATAGCAATTGCTTTATCCCATCAGGTGCTGGGGAGGCTTGTGGCACAACAGTCAATAACTGATTACGGATTTAGAAGGTAAAGGGATCCTTGATCAGGCTCCCACATGCCTCCTGCCTGCCCTCCCAGAGCTGGAAGGATACATGGAAAAGGCGATGGTGAGCAGACACCAGAACACAGCGATATTGGTCTCCCTGGCCGGGCCCAGCATGTAGTAGTAGGCCTCTGTGAAGAGGTACACACCGCCCGCATACACGGCAAAGTCCACGAACCACTGGTACTCCAGGAAGAAGCGCAGGACTGCGGGCCACACTGCTCAGCCAGGGGCCACCGGCTCAGGGCCTCCCCACCCTACCCACCCTGCCAGGGTGCAGACCAAGCAAGGGGAGCTGGAGACCCACTGGGCTGTTACCGAGGGCATCCATGGCTGTGAGGGGACAGGTCTCCAGTTGGAAAGGGGCATCTCGGGGCACACATAAAGGCTTCTCTTCACTATAGCCATTGGCCCACCTGGCAGGGGGTGGGAGGAATCAGAACAGCATTCTCCATTTTCCTCTCCTCACCCCAGCCTGGGAGGCGCAGCTTGCCACCCTCAGGGCACAGGAGCTGGTCTGGGAGGTGCCTTCTCCCCCAGCTTGGATGTCCTCTGCACACCATGGTGCAGTGATCACAGCAAACATCCAATAAGCATTCCATGCCAACTGGAGGCAGCCCATGCATGACAGTGACCACCATTCAGCCTGGTGTGTGCCCGATTCTCCTCTGTGCCCAGAGTGGTGCCTGAGAGTGGGCAGGGCAGGCCCTGTGCCCCCGCAGCCTCCCCTAAGACTGGGGGCTCACTCACCGCTCCCTCTTGCCTCTGGGCCTCTGCTTCCCCGCCAGGGCCCGAAGCTCTTCCTCAGAAGGGTGCTTGTATCGGAAGAGACTGAGGGCAAAGACAGGCAGTCAGGAAAGCTCAGGCATGGGGGGCGGGGACAAGGCAGTGAACCCCAAAACCCAGGACTAGAGTCAGAGGGAGGGTTGGGCCCCCCTGAATGCCTGGTGACAGGAGGGGCAGGGACCATGAAGGCCAGGGGGAAGGCCTGGGAGGTGTGCAGGGGTCCTGGTCACTCCCGAATCTGCTGGCTAGCTCTCCTAGTGGAGCAGGCATGCACTGTCCTGGGGAGAGACTGTACAGTTTCCACCAGATCTCAGAAAGGGTCTGAGAACCAAACAGGGACAAAAAGCATTGCGGGGAAACATCTATAGCAAGAGTAGGGTAGAAGGGGGCCTGGAGTGGGGGAAGCAGCTGCTCTTTGGAGTGTGGAGATGGTCTCGTGTGTACATCTGTCAGAACTGATCCAACTGTGTGCTTCCAATATATGCAGTTTACAGTACATCAACCACATCTCAATGAAGTTGTTTAAACTCCTGTGCAGGGCATGAGGTGGGTCTGGGGGTGGAACCAGAGAGGTCGGGGCTCCTCCCACAGCCAGGAGGGGGTGTGGCTCACCTGCCATTGCAGAGCAGCCAGCGTGCAAAGGAGCAGTGTGGTGCCAGCCTGTGCATGAGGGTGGCAGTGAGCAGCGTCACCACCAGCTGCACTCCGAGGACCGCCTGGGGGAGGGGATAAGACGGGCAGTGCCTGCCAGAGGGTCACAAGATCACTCCTTCTGAACCCAGCTATTTATAGAGATGCAGGGCGAGGTGGGGCAGGGCAGCCTCCCTTGCCTCCAGCTGCATCTTGGAAAAGAAGACTGGCTGAGCTTAGACCCAACCCTGGAAGCCCCTGCTGAGCAGGGAACCCCCACCTGGCTGGGGTATAGGGGGTGGAGAGCAGGTGCTGGAGCAGTAAGTGTTCACTTCCAGCCTCTACCACGGATTTCAGGTATTAATCTCCCCGAACCTCGGTTTCCTCATCTGGAAATGGGGTGCTTCCTATTTTGTTTCATGTACTCTCACGACTGCCTCCAGAACCTACAAGGACCCCGGTGCACCCAGTGAAAGCGGCTCCCCTCCCACCATGGTCTCAGCCTTGCAGCAACTGTCTCAGGCCAGCTTCTAGCTTAAACATTCACCCTGGTGATTCCATCTTAAATCATCCCTGATGGCTTCATCGCCCTCTTTTCCTCTCCCTCCTTTTGTCCTCAACCTCCTCACGCCACTACCTGTTTCAGCATAAAGACTTAGACATGTGAGTGGGATGACTTGCTTTTCTTTAGGAATTTTCTCACAAAGTTCTACATAACAACCTTTTAAAACAGTAATTCATAACACATTTTCACATACTTATTTTAAAACGTTTTAGGAGAAATGTTTTTGGTAATCAGCCTGAAGCTGAAGCTGCCTGAATGTAGTAAATACCAATTTGCTATCAGTAATTATATAATTATGTAAAATTATGTGCTCAGAAGACCTGTCTACTAGTATTATGGCATTATAATTAACAAGTAAAATGAAATAAAGATCAATATTAATCATTAAAATTATCCTTTAATCAGGCAAAAATAAGCTACCTTTAAAAGGAAAAGCTCTAGTGGGATGGATATCGGGTCTAGCGCTGTAATTTGGAATGACTGCTGAAAAAAATCCATCATTAAAATAACTGACTCATAGGATATTTTCTCTATGCTTGTGACTTGTAAACTGAGACCAGAAGCATTTTTTCAGTAATGAGGTTGGGGTGTCATCTTTCTGATCTCTAAATCTCACCAATTGCTTAGTCTCACTGCTCACCCTCCCCCCACCAAGTACAGACTGGCAGTTGGGCACTAATGACCACTGCATTGTCAAGGTCGGTGGGCACCCCCAAGCTCAGTGGGCCAGGCCTTTTCTGGCCCCACCTTTTGTCCTAGGACCCATCCTCTGCTCCTTGGGGAGGAGGGCAGCACCTCCCACCAGCACTTACCAGCAGGCAGCAAACTTCAGAGCCTCGAGCAAGCACCCCGCCTGCTTTTATTTTCCCTCTGTGGCCTCTCTCCTGTGACCCCCATCCCTTGCCAGGGTTTTAACAGCCGACCCGGCCCAGCACGACCCCAAAGGACCCTAAAACAGCCGCACCTCCATCCTGGACCTCTCTGCTAAGCTCGCAGACCCCTAGTTCCCAGGCCCTTCCCAGGAGCCCAGCACCTGCCCATCACTCCAGCAGACACAGCCCATCACTGAGGCAGGCGCAGCACTTGGCTTCTCCAGGCGGTCCCAGACCCTTCCCAGTCTCACAGTCAACCTGCAACTCCACTCCACAGCCTGCACCGCCAGGCAGGCCCAGCTCAAGACCACCCCACCTCACTGCCTGGCTCTCTTCTTGGCCATGCCTGCATTCAACCACTCAAGTCTCAGAGACTCCCAGATCTCCCGGCTCTCCACTGTTAACCCCAACACCCTCCCACAGACACCTCCCAGGGAGGGGGCCCATGGTTCAAACTGTGGTCCCAGCACCTAGGACAGAAAGAACTTAAGGAGGGAAGGACGGAGGGATGGGGAAAAGTAGGGAAGAAAGACATGTGACTTCCACGTAGGGTCCCAAGGTCTGTCCAGGGATGTTTCCCATGCTCCGCCCCCAGCAGCATCCCGTCTCAGGGTCCACACTCTGCAGAGCTCCATAGATCTTCTGGAGCTTCCCATTCGCCCACTCCTTCCCTTGCTTAGAGCCTTTCACTGGATCTTTCCTCCATCTCATTGGGAGAGCCCTTCTGCTACACTGCCCACAGCGTCCCACACTCAGCCTGGAACGACGCCCACTTTCAAGCACCCCCTCCACTAATATTCTCACTTCGTGCCCACCTCCAACAACCTCTCCTCGGGGACACACACACCCGTCCTCGGCAGAGTCACGTCGCCTCTGGACCCCTCCAGCCTATGTCTCTCCCTCTGCCGAGTCCAAATACCTAGAGGCTGGACGTACACGCCCTCGCCAGGCATGAGCCTGGCCCACAGTGGCTAGGCTAAGTTTGAAGAACAAACTCAGCGGTTTGCACACGGAGCGTGAGAGACCTGAGGATTCCAGATCCCCTTAGCCTGGCCCCTTCCTCTCAGGGCTTTCCTGGCCCTTCTGCACACCCCGGTACCCGCAGGGACCCCCGAGGGACCCATCGGCGCGGGCCCCACGCTCCCATAGGACCCTGTCCCAAGAGTGGGCCCCAGCAGGACCCCAGACGTCCCTCGCGGGGTTCCGAACGTGTTTGGGTCCCCAGTCCCTCGGTGGGGCCATGAACCCTAGGAGGGACCCCAGAGCCCTAGAAAGTAGGACACCCAGGACACTCAGGGGCTTCCAATCCCCTTGGCACAACCCTCAACCCCTTCATAGGTCCCGCAGCGAGATGCTGACCCCAGATATAGACACACTGCCCTCTGCGCGACCCAGAGTCTCTCAGAGCCCCCAACCCCTACAATGGGACCCCCATCCCTTGGTGTCTCCCTGGACCCTCTCGGCGAGACCCTTGGGCCCATCATGACCCCCCACACCTCAGAACGCTCGCTTACCATTTCGCCCGAGGGAGCTCGGTAGGAGAACCCACAGGACGGCTCAGGGCACTTTATGGGAACTTGACCAATCAGGACCCGACTCTGGTCTGACAAGCAGCCCGTGTGACCAATCACCAGGCTTGGATCTGGGGCACATCACAGGGGACCAAGGTTGCTCGCGTTGAATGCCGGAAGTTGTAGTTCGAACACGCCTGACTTGCTCACACTGGAGTTGAATCAGGACTTCATCAGGGACTCTTGTGTGACCGCTCTCTCTGAGGCCCAGTCTCTCATCTGCACCTGTCTAACAGGTCTGCGGCCAATACATTCACTCACGAGCTATCTCCTGCGAACAGTTTTTTTTTGTTTTTTTTAAGATTTTTATTGGGAAATTGGGGGAAGGGGAACAGACAAGTTGCTGTCGTGTTTTTTGTTCTTCAGTCTAGTTGTGGAGGACTTTGCTTCACTGGCCCAAGTTGGCACCGTCATTGCGCTATTCCCGTCGAGGCAGATCAGTCGCCGGCTTCTGGATGGCCGCTCACACTGGCTGCTGGCTACACACAGTAGCCCATGGCAACTCACTGCAGCAGGGGCTGCAGCCTACGCCATCGACGGCAACTCATGGCAGCCCAGCTCCAGGTTGAGCTGTTGTTCAGCATCTTAGCTGTAGAGGGCAGTGTCACTGGCCCTCATATGTGGGATCCAAACCGGGGCCCTCTGGCGTCCCAAGCCAGCTCTTAACAACCGCACCACTCAGCCGGCCCCAGTTTTGAGCATTCAAGAATATTCAGTGTCTTCCACTGACTATACTCCCAAGTGCTGAGACTGAATTCAGACCCTCTTCCTGACTTCAATCTGCTGCTAGCACTATTGTGCACACTACAGTACAGCTTGCCCCCAGCCACTCTATCTCATACCTACAGGCCTCTGTAAATGCTGTCTTCCATCTTGGAATGCCTCCTTTCTCAATCTTTTTCGCATGGCAAAAGCCTTATTCATCTCTATCACGCAGGTCTATGGTTGTGAATCACACCAAAAAAAAATCCAACTCAAATGGGTTCTGGCAAAAAAGGGACATTTTGGACTCGTAACAAAAAACTAAAAGTATATCGACTTCAGGCATGGCTGGATCAAGGACCAAATGTCAGCCTCAGGAAACTGATGTTTTCTGTTTCTAGATTTGGAGGTAAGAGCTTCTAGCATAGGTGCCTAAGTTTTGCTATCTGTGTTTCTATAGATGTGTGTCTGCATGAGTGTGGACATATATGTGGATGTGACAATGTCTAGGGTCTTTATGGAGTGGTACCTGTGAGTGGGGCCTATAGAGTTGATTGCCTCCTCTTGTGGGTAATTTTGTCTTTGTTTATGGGCACATGTGGATGTCTGTTTGCAGGGGATTCACTGTTTGTGACTTTAGTCCTCTGGACTCAAGAGTGTCCCCTTGAAAGGGGATGATGAGAGTGGCAGCGAGGGTTGCCTGGATGCCCCAGGACCTATACGGGGATCATGACATGCCCATCATGGCCAGGGCATACAGGTGGGATTCAGGGAAGATGGGATCTGGGGAAGGTGTTTGAGAATATGGAGAAGGAAGAAAAGGCAGGGGGGCTGAGGGGCATTGCTTCAGGCTCACTGAATGGCAGGCTGGGGGGGGGGCATTGACTCATGTGCGTCCTTCAGTAGGCCAGGGTGGCGTGACAATTGTCTCCATTTAATTAATGAAGATACTGTGGCCCTGAGAGGCCCAGATCTCTACTTCTACCTGAGCTCGCCCCTGGGCACCTAGCTCCTGAGTCTGGTGTCACAGCACCCTTACGTGGTGAATCACAGGCAATTCACATACCTCCTGGCCCCAGGCGCTCCCAATCTTTCCTCACCGCCTTTCCATCCTCCTGGTGCTTATCCACAAACTCTGGAGTTGGCCTTGATGCCTCTCTCACCCCACACCTGATCTGTCAGTTCCTCCTGATGGCTCTACCTTCCAACTGTAACCACACTCCCACCTGGCCTCACTCCCTTCACAACCCCCACCCAGTCCAGCCTCATCTCTTGCTTGCAGTCCCCTCCTCCTCTACCTTCCATTGGTTTCCCGCCCCATCTCCCACGGTCTATTTTTCTTCTGAGCAGCTTGAGGGCACCTGTTAACAGCCAGACCATGTCCCTCTTCTGCTCACAACCATCCATGCCTGCCACCTCATGCAGAGCAAAACCAAAGTCTTCTCTTCTACATTGGAAGGTCTATGTGCTCCTTTCTTTAGTTTGCTCAACATCTCTGTTCTCCATTGGACGCTCCTCGTTCTCTGTCCTCCATTGGGTATTCCATGCCCCCTGATCCTCATTGGATTCTCCCTATGTCTGTCCACACTAATGTCCTACATCCTCTGACCACACTGAGGCCCACACTCTTATTCCACACTGACCATTCCACCACCTGTATTTATGGTACTCTAGAAAAATGCATCTCTCAGATCTCTGACTTCCATCACCATGTTTGTGCCCAGGCCATGATTCCCACAGTGCTTCCAACCAGTGACGGAGAGCTCCTGGGGAACTGGGGACCCTCTGACAGTAACATTGGCTTTGGCCAACATCACCATAGTGTCCTTAGCAAGGCTGGTGGTAGGACACTTCCATACAACCCTCCCTACTTCCTCCCCAACAGAGCCACGGGGCACAGCTGGGGTCTGGGTGCAGAGGTGTTTCCAGAACCTGGTAGCCTACCCACTATCCCCTCATGATCTAAGACAGGGGTCAGCAAACTGCGGCTCGCGAGTCGCAGGCTCTGAAGTAAAATTGAAAATGAAAATAAAACTATCATACTTTCATTTGTAAAATTTTTAAAGGACATTATTCACATAATGGTGATTATGTAAAAATATATTTATGGCTCTCGAATAGTTTTTAAATTGGGCTGGAATGGGGGCAGTGACTCACCCCTCCTCTGAGGGTGGGTGGAGACAAAAGAGAGCAGCGAGGAGGATTTAGGACCTGAGTCTGAGTTGGGGGAGAGGACTCCCCAGCCTAACTCAGGTACCCTACAGAGGACTTGAGTTCACACCACATCCCCTGCATTCTCTTCAGGCCTCCCCAGCGCAAGTGGGGGCTTCCCTAATGTCCCCACTGAGGTCAGAGGCTACGAGTTGCCCATGGCACCCTCTTCCCTTTACCCCCACATCGCAGCCATCCAAGGGTCCTGGTGGCTCTACCCTATCACACCACAGAGTGTCCCTCCTGCCACTGTTGCCCCTAGCACCCCCACTCCACCTCCCTGACACAGAAGTCCCGGGGAGGGGACCTTCGATCATGCCATGTCCCTCCTCTAGAAACTGGGGCCCCAAAGCCCCTACTTCACTGGGGATGAGGCGTCCAGGACTGAGATCTACAGAGGACAAACCCCAGCTGGGACTGGCATGCAAGTGGAGGGCTCTATATAGGCCGCTTAGAATGCCCCCACCTTCCTTAGAAGGTCTGTCACTTTACATATTCTGCCCTTTTCCCCACCCCTTAAAGGAGTCAGCCCTGTCTTGGTGGGAAGCAGGGACTACAGGAGAAGGGAAGGTGCTGAATTCCAGGGGCCAGGACTGACTCTGAAGCCTGTTATGTACATGCTTTCCCTCTTTATTCACCACCTAGGTGTGCACTAATGGTGGGATGCAAGACATTGCATTTTACTGGGAAAGCACCTCTGTGGGCCACTGGGATGACAAGAGGGGACAAAGATCTTGAACAGCCAAGCTGGATCAATCAGCTCTGGATCTTGGTAGAATGGGGGTAGGGGGCAAATCTTATAGGCACTGATGCCAATACTCCATGTTTTCCACATTCCTGTCCAAATTGGTGATCTGCACCCAACACACCCTCTGTCTGCTTAACTTAGCACTCAGAGCCATTTCTAGGCTTGGGGGGCAGTGCTGAGGCCCTCCTGGGGGAGGGGGGGGGTACATGGAGTTGGACCTTGGGAGGATAGGAAGCAGTCTTTGTAAGAAAAAAAAAAAAGGTAGTTCGAGTCTTGGCCTGAGCTGAGCTGCCGCTGAGCTGCCAACAGGTGGCAGGATGGCTCAGCTTAAAAAAAAAAAAAAGTGAGTTGGGGTTTGGGGGAGGTGGTCCAAAAGGAAGGACCAGCATGGCCCTGGCATTGAAGCTGCAAGTGTTTCTAGGGAGCTCAGGGTAGGGGACAGGGTGGGGGGTGGGGGCAGAGTGGGTGGAGTCAGCTGAGGAGCCAGGGGAAGGTTAGGAGTCAGATCTGAGTGTCATGAAGATCCCACTGAGACCACCTTCGGGGTGGCTGGAGGCAGGATGAGCAAACGGAGCTCCCTCAGGCTCCTGGACCCCCAAGTCTGCTGGCACACATGGCACAGGCCAGAGTCAGGGGGGCTGTGTGCTCCTTTGGAGTGAGCAGATAACGGCCTGGCTCCCTCCTCCCGCCAGTGGAAGGAAATTGCTGAGTCAAGAGCTCAAGGGATACGCCTATCTATAAAAGGAACAGCTTAGCAGCCCAACATTCAAGGTTCCCAACTGCTTCTTGCTGCAAGCGATTGAGACTAGCCTGGGGACTTCTTCCTGAGCCCACCACCAAACAACCCCAGAGTTGGAGGACAAATTGCTTGGTCCCTTACCGGTGGGATGGGACCACTCTAGGGGCACGCTCCACACAGTCCTGAGCCCAGCTGCCCTCCATGTCACCTGCTCATCGGCACCCCTGCAGGGTCCTTGCCCTCCCGTCCCCACCACCACAGGCCTTCCTTCCAGATACCCCATCCAAACTTGAATCCTCTTCTCAGGGTGGAATTCTGAAGGGAGTACCCTAAACCAAGACAAGGCAAGACTGAGGCTGATGGGGAGACTTGGGTGGGGGTGGGGGGTGGCTATGAGCAGCGACAGATCGTTTTGCACACGATGCCACGTGTGTTTTATTGATGCGTACACACTCAGGAAGGGGGAACAGAGCCTCCCCAACCCTGGGTCCCAACCTAGCCTTCCTCCTCCAGGTCCCCACTGTGGAGAGGGTTGTATCCACTGAGTGTTCACTAAGGACTCAGGAGGGAGGCTGGGACCCCACTTGCTCTTACCCAGCCAGGCGCGGGGAGCAGGGCCTTTGCCACCTCCGGGTCCACTACCGAGGCCAGCCATCAGCAGTGGGCAGCCGGCGTAGGGCGGGGCCTGGCCGCAGGGGCTCTGCCAGGGGCCGGGCCAGGAGCAAAGGGTAGGGGAAGGTCTTGGGAAAGTCGCTGGGGCCTCCAGGGACTGGTGAGAGGCGTTCAGACTTGATGCTGACTGGCGGAGTCGACGGGGAGGCACCGCGGGCTGGGGGGCCCTCCTCGCCCAGGCTGCGGCCCCCACTGTAGGGAGCGAGAGAAGGAGGGGGGAGGAGGAGGACTGTGAGCTCTTCGAGGGAGGGAGAGAAGCCAGGAAGTGGCACGGCTTGGGCAAAGGCTCAACAGGAGAACGTTGGGAAAGGAGGAGGTGGCCGTCCCTCTTGGGGCCTCTAAAATAGCCTCTTCCTGTCCGTCAGCACTCCGTAGGGGTTGAGTGCAGAACCAGGAGTGGCCACCAGGGGTCAGCAGTGACTAGGAGCTTCGGAAGACTCAGAGGGGCCCCACCGGGGAGCCGGACTGGGGTTGCGGGGCAGTCGGGGCACTTACCTGGGCTGGGCAGGGGCGGTTAGAGGTCCATCACTCCTCGAGGGCTGCCAGGGGGCCAAGGTGGGGGGCTGCAGCAAGCCAGAGGGCGGAGGGGGGTCTCCCAGGCCATATTCTGGGGGGGGGCAGGAGGAGTAAGCTGAGGCCCCCACCTCTGGGAGCCCCTTGCCCAAGCCTGACACACCCCACCAGCCAGTTTTCAGTTGGTGGGTGGGACATGTAGACTGCCCAGCAGGCAGGTGTATGGATGGACATCTCCCACAGCAGGGTGGATGTAGGGTGCCTACCTGGAGGGCCTGCTGAGAGGAATGGGAAGCTCCCGAGTGTGGGTCCCGGGGCTGCGGCCGAACAGGGACTCTGCAGGCTACCATAGAGGCCTCTCTGTACGAAGAAAGGGTGAAGGGGAAACTGAGGCCCACACTCAAGCCACCCTGCCTTCATTCATCATCCCTGACACTGCTGCCCACTCACCGAGGTGCTCAGTCCCCCTCGGGCCCCTGCCAGGCCACCAGGCAGGTCTGGCCTCCGCCCATCAGCTGCCAGGTACAGGGGCGGCGGTGTCTTGCTGGCAAGGTGGCTTGGTGAGAAGAGAGGGTGGGCCAGGCCTGTGGAACAGGAGGCCCCCAGAGAGAGGGCAGGCAGCCATGTCATCTATTGAAGCCTGAGGTCCAGAGGTGATGCACACAGCCAAGCAGTACCAGAGCCAAGATCCCCACTCCCCAAGTCCCCCTGGGACTCCCACCCTTACTTCCCCCAGGGCCTATGTCTCATACTCACCTGGGGGCCCGGCTTTGGGGGCTGCTGGTCGGAAGGGGGATGGTCGGCTATGAGCAGGCAGGGCCTCTCCGAGCCCACTCGAATCGCAGCCTGGTGGGGGCAGGGCCCCATATACCATGTCTGGGCTGGGCATAGTGGGGGCTGCTGGCTGAGATCAGAGAGGGCGGGTTTGGTTGGAGGAATGGGGAGGTGAGGGCATCAAGTCCAAGACCAAAAATCCCAATGAGCTCAGGGGCCAGCCTCCACGTTCTGGAAGCCCTCACTACTCCTTCCTCTGGCCTAACCTCTGGGGGAGCCTATGTCTAGCTCCATTGCTCCTTGACAGCTAGGCCCAGAGCTAAGGCTTCTCACTCAGCATGGAGTTGGCACTGAGGGGGATTCCCAGGTGTTTGATGAATCAAAGAAGTAAAGAAAGAAGGAATTATCTGTTAAACTCTTATTCATCCTTCAGAGCCCCAGCTATAATGCCCACTTCTCCAGGAAGCTTTTCCTGCCCATCCAGGCAGAGACCTGCCCCAAAGCTCTGGGCTTCATGGCCCTAGGTCCCTCTTTCAGTCTCAGCCTTGACCACTTGGGCCTAGAAGGTGGGAGGAGGGACCCATTCATGGTGGGGCAGAGAGTCACTTACATAGAGCCGGGGCCGGGGCAAGGATGGGTCACCCCCGTCACCTGCCAACCTCCGCAGCTTCTCTCCCGGTTCCTCAGGCCCCTCATCTGGCTCCAGCTCTGGTCCATCGAGGCCCACACCTCTCCGCTTCAGTGTCTGTGGGGAGGGGACACAATAGGATGACACTTCCCCCCATCCTAGCCAGGGATCCTGGTTCTATGGGAGAGGAGAGAGACCTACCTCACTCTGTGGGTGGGTGAAGTGCAGGCATAGCCTGTTCTAGCCAAACCTCACTGACCAAAACTCTCAGTGAGTTATCACCTAGGAAGTTCTAACAGTGTGTAAGAGAGGGACTGTCCTGCCCTGGAACCAGAGATCTATCCAGGCCTGCTGGCTCTGTCTTAACACTCCTCCTGAATATGACTCAGGTATCTCCATTCTGCACCCATGTGTTGCCTCAAAGCCTGGCGTGCAGTAGCTTAATCAATGTTGGGAGACTGAGCAGCACCTAAGGACAACTTTACAGGCTTTCCTGAGCTCCCTTCCCCTGGGACCAGTGACCTGCACGCTCCTGGACCTCAGCCAGGTCTGCTTACTCCTAGGTACCTTTTATTTTCTGTTCTGTATCCACCAAACAGGTAATAAGGTTAAATGAGATGATGTGTGCACAGCCCTCAATGTGCAGTGGTTGATATTTTTATTTCTACTATCCAGGCGGCTGCCCCAGAGGGACCCTCCATTTCCCCAGACCTGCTTTAACTGGCAGCAAAGCCAGATTGCAACATTCATCTTTTAAGAGTCCCTAGGCTCTGAGCAAGCAGAGTGTGCTGGATTCATGGGCCAAGGAGGAGGGCCCAGGGTACCTCAAGGATGTCGGTGTTAGTGCGGCTCTCATGGGGCTCACTGTACTCCGTGTATTTCAGGAGCACTCGGTCCATATCTGTGCTGGCATACTGGAAGAGGCGGTTGGCACTGTTGAAGATGATGAGGGCGATCTCACAGTCACAGAGCACGCTCAGCTCATAGGCCTTCTTCATCAGCCCAAACTTCCTCTTGGTAAATGTCACCTGGACCCAGGACCCATGGGTGGGTGGGTGGGAGAAGACAAGGATTCGGGGTGACGTGGGGGAGGTGGAGGGGCCTGTTTTTTCTGAACACACCTCATGATTCTGTGCCTCTGCATATGCTGTTCTTTCTTGCTGTACTTCTCACTTCTAAACCTGATACATTTCTATTGAAGCTTCAAAACCCAGCCCAAATGACCTCTTCTTTGGGAAGTTCTCCTTGGCCTCCCAGACAGAGCCCACACTCCCTCTCTGAGCTTCCCCAGTTCTGTGCCTCCCTTTGGTCCAGACCTCTGAGTTGGGTGTGTTTGTGCGAAGTTCCATCTCCCCTATGACCAGGGCGCCAGTCATTAGGGAGAATAAATGAATAACTCATCATGAAAATGAGCAAGTGCTACATCTCAAACTCCAGACATAGCCTCAAGACTCATTCCCTTGCAGGTCCCAAAATGGCCAGGACTTTGCCCAGGAATGCCTTTCCCCAACCACTGTTCCACTCAGTGAACTCACCTGCCGATTCCTTTGGTCTAGAATGCGTGAGATCTGGATTTTTTTCCTTCCCATCGTCCCAGGCTGTGCAGAGCAACCTTGGTTTGGGAGAGAAGGAAAAGAGGACAGAGAAAGTGGGTGGAGAGTGGAGCAGGGAACAGCCCCACAGCCCCCACTCTCAACCAACCCAGGAAACAGTAGACGCTCAATGAATACCTTCAGACTAATTCAACCTGAGGAGAAGGCTGACCCAGGGCAAAAGATGGAGGTACAGATGCTCTTACCCCAGCATCTAAAAAATGATCCCCTGGTAATTGTGGTACCTTGGGGAGCCTGACTTTCCTGGGCACCCATCTGTGCAGTGCCCATTGTTGTCAGGGACAAAATGAGCTAACCTACATGAGCCATTCAGATCTGCCTGGCACACAGCAGGTGCCACCTACATGCTACTATTATGAATGTTGGCAACAGCCTAAAAGCCCTCAACAGACCTGTTGGAGGGACATCCAAGGCAGCGATCAGTAATGCTAAGCCGCTGAAAGACAGCCTGGTCTTTCAACTCATTCAACCCACAACAGCTCCCAGAGCGAGATGGAGGGCTGCAGTTACAAGAAAATATACATTTAAAGACTGCATTGAGAGTGGAAAACGACTAGAAGAAAATGCTCATGATGGGAGTCACCACCTGGTGGAAATTTATGGGTGAGTTTTTTTCCTTTTTAAAAAAAATTGAGATGCAACTCACATAACATAAAATTCACCATTTTAAAGCATGCAATTCAGTTGCATTTAGTTCATTCATGATGTTGTAGAACTATCACCTCTATCTGGTTCCAGAAATTTTTCATCTCCCCCAAAAGGAGACCCTATCCCCATGAGCTGTCACTCCCTATCGCCCCTCCCCCAGCCCCTGGCAACCACTGATCTGCTTTCTGTCTCTATGGATTTGCCTGTTCTGGACATTTCATGTAAATGGAGTTATATAATGTGTGGACTTTTGAGTCTTTTTTTTTTCATTTTTGATTATCTGAATTTTCTGTTTCCCTCAGTGGTTATAGATTATTTCTGTTAAAAATTGTGTTTTCTTTTTAAGTGATAGAAACACACCCATGCTCTACTTTCCATCGGGAGGAAGTGGGGATGCCCCAGAAAGTCCTCAGTCTTGGGGCCCTCAGACAAGGGTCTGGGCCCAGGACAATTTGGGAGACACCCTGGACCCTCCTCAATGGGATCTCAGTTCTCCCTGGCAGGGTCCTCAAAGGTGAGAATAGGCAGCAGCATGTCCCCAAGATATGCAGCATGTTGGGGTCCAGGCCCTCCCCAGCACCCCACATGCAGGGATCCTTGGAGCGAAGAAATCACATTGCCTGTTGTGCAGCACCCACCCTGCTGTACAGACAGTTACCCCAAGGCCCCTGACACCCCCTCCACCAACACTCTATGACCACAACTGATCCCAGCCACTCCCATGTCACAGGCCTGCCTACAATGAGTGGGCCTGTGCTCAGGTCCCAGCTGGCCTTGGACCTGTTGGGCGGACCTCAGCAGGGAAGGCCTCTCCCTGGGCCTCAAGTTGCTGTTCTGTGAATGGAGCAGTTAGGAAATGCAGAACACCCAGGACAGGCCTGAGAACAAGCAAGCTCTGGGGAAGTATAGGGAAATGAAGGTCCGTCTCCACGAGTAGCCATATCTGCTTCCCAGATCCCAGCCTGAGGGGTCTAGGCAGGACCCCTTTCATCCCAGAGTCCCAGGACCCAGGAGTGTGAGACACCTCGGCCATCATATGTAGCCCACTTTGTGATCCCAGAAGGGCCCGCCACCTCTCTGGGCTCGGTTTCTGAGTGGTCACACTATGCAGAGCCCAGATGGTGAGAGCCCCCTAGCTCCAGATTGACTTGCTAAATTTAACCTCTGGGGCTAATTTTAATCCCCGGCCAGAATCAGGCTGGTTCCCACGGCTGGATGTGTTGCCCTTGCCCTGATGGGTCCCTGGGGACAGCAGGGGGGCACTGGCCCGGAGGTCCCGGGTGCCAAGATGACTCCGGAAATGCCCCCCACGCCTGGGGTCCCATGGGAAGATAGGACTTGGACCTGAGAGTCTGGGCCTGGAAGATTTGACTCCAGACCCTTCTTAGTCTGTCCCCATTTAGGACAAGGATATCCCAACTAGGGCAGGGGTCACATAACAGGGGAACCTCAACAGCCAGAAGGCCAGAGGGGTCTCTCTGAACTGAGACCCAAGAGTCAAGACAGAAAGTGAGTTCCAGGCAGAAAGAACAGCAGGTGCAAAGGCCCTGAGGAAGGACGAGACACAGCAACAATGCTGGAGTGAGGAGCTCAGGGGAGAGGCGGTAGAAGCAGGGCCACTCTGGGCTCTCTGAGCTGCGGGGAGGGCTATGGGTTTGGGTCTAAGAGCGATGGAGAGCCATGGGAGGGTTTTTGAACAAGGAGGTGTAAAGTTTGATTTATCACTGAAAAACTCTTCTGACCCTCAACTCCCAATCCTCAACCAGGAACTAAAGTCATCCCCAGCTTTGGCCCTTGAGGGATCTACACAATACATAGCTTTGATCGTGACTCTCCCTGCTCATACACTCTTCATGGCTCCTTACTGCCATGTCAGGAGAAAATTTCAGTTCTCAGCCTGGCATTCAAGGCCCTGCCCCAATCAGCCCCTGCCCACCTTTCTCTACCTTCAACAAAATGTCTCTACCTAGAAATCCCTTTGCTCCTTCTTCACCTGGCCAACTCCTATTCACACTTCAAAACCCAGCTCAAAAAATCCATCCCTCCAGGAAGCCCTCCCTGCTCTCACTCTGGACTCCCACAGCCCCCGTCCTTCCCTTCAGTTCTGACCCTGTGAGGCTGAGGATGTATATCTCCAGCTACATGTTCCCCAGACTAGAAGCCCCTCAGAACCAGACATAGAGGTGGCTGGGTAGATTTGGTGAGTGGAGAGGGTCAAGAGAGACACGTCTGAACCTTCTGCTTCCCTCAACAACTTCCTCTCAGACTTCCCCAGGTGACTCTTACCCAGAAATACACGCGCATGCAAATCCAGCCACTGGGTGGACGTGTGTCAGGCCCAGGTGTGAAGGGCCAGCCAGGGAATGCGGGGGTGGAAAGCCCGGGGTGTGCATATATATTTGTACTCACATGCAAATCCCCACCCCAAGCCGCAGACAGACCAGCGGCCAGTTCTCCAGATGTTGGTGTGATCGGAACTGCTGGGGGGAGGTGGCACTGCTGAATGTGCTGGGCACGAGGGGGGAGGCTGAGGTTTGGGGAAACCTCTTCTGTGCACACCCCCAACACCAATGTCCCGCCAGAAAGCAGAAAGCTTGTGGTATCTGCCCAGCAGAGAGGCAGAGATGGACTCATAGACAGGGAATGGAGTAGGGAAGAAGGGTCAGGAGAAATCCAAGAGGGCATCTCAGAGGAGAAAGCATGTAATTGGGCCTCAATGGAGAGGCTGGGTCGGGGCTTGAGCAGAGGGTCAGGGGGTGGACCTTTGAAGCTGAGAGTGCAGCCTCTCCCCGCCCCTTTCTTCATACCCTCATACTTAGCATTTATTAAGTATCAACCATGTGCCAAGCACTGCAGTAAAGACCTCACAAGAAGTAGAAAGTGTAAGTAGACTAATGGCCACAGATGATTAGAATAGAAAAGTGACAGACCTACCATAAAAAGACAATAGGCCCCAATAGTTTTATGGCTGTCCTCAAAGGACAGGAAGGCTCAATGGTATTTAAACTAACTCAGACCTTTGAAAACAATGGGAAGCGCCTAAGTTATTATGAAACTCCCACCTGTCAGAACCTAAGTCCAAAAAGAGAGAAGTATTGACCACGAAAGGGACAACATTAGCCAGGGATTTAAAGGAAGACCTCTCTGAACGGATGACATTTGAGCTGAGACCTGAAGTATGAGAAAGAGAGAACCAAGCAAGGGAAGTGACAGTGGTGGGGAGATCAGAGGGCAGGATGGTCCTGGCAGGGGAAACTGCAAGGGCAAAAGTCAGGGTGATCTTGAGTTTGGCATTTTAAAAAAAATCTAAGAAGTCTGTATGGATGGACAGCATGGCGATGGGGAGACTCAAGGAGGGTGGAGCTGGGGAGGATTGTGGGGTTGGATCATGTAAGTCCTTGTGGGTGACGGTGAAGAGTGTGGGCTCTATTCTGAGGGCAAGGGGGAACCATGGAATATTTGAGGGCAGGGTCGGGTCGGGATATGATTTTAGAGTTTTAATAATCCCCTTGCAATCTCACTGGTTGCTGGTAGGAGAAAAAAGAGGTACCACGATTGTGGAAAACCAGCATCTACTAAAGATGAACATATGTCTATGCTGTGACCCAGTGTTCCCCCGAGAGAAATGGACCCAAGTTTTACCAAAGACAAGAGTGTTCTCAACAGCTTCATTCATCACAGCCCCAAACTGCAAACGACCCAAATGCCCTCAATGGGAGAATCAGTAAATACTTTCTGGTAGATTCTACAGTGGACTACTACACAGAAAAAAGATGCACTCCAGTTCCGTGCAACCACACAGGAGAATCTCCCAGACCTATGCCAATTCAACAGTGCTGGACTCCACAGAGGAGACACGCCATGTGAATCCATTTACATGAAGTTCCAGAACAGGAAAAACTCACCTACAGTGATGGATGTCAGCACAGTGCTCGCAAGAGTAGGTGCTGTGACAAGAGCAGAGGGGGCTAGGGTGTTCTGCTTCCTGGTCCAGGGTCTGAGTACACCGGTGTGTTCAGTTTATTCAGATATGTTTGCCCTACTCAGGTGATTTCTGTAATTTATCTCAACCAAATGATTTTGTTTTTTAAAGCCCCTGCCTGCTCCTGGCTGTCACAGGGAGCAGCGTCTGTCTAGGCAGGAGTGAGGTGACAGGGAGAGGCTGGGGCAAGTGTCCTGGTGGGAGAGGGGGAGCCTGAACTGAGATGGGGCTGCAGATGGGCAGAAGTGCATGGATCATTTGGCAACTGAGGAGATAGGACATGCTAGTGGCACATGCTTCGGGTTGGGGAGGAACCCAGGTTCCCAGGCCTGAGCGTGTGTGGGAGAAGCACTGGGGGAATGAAGGAAGATTTTC